ACAAATATTTTATATTTTTATTGCAATACAATTTTTTTGAAAGCTTCAAATTTGTGCCATTTAAAATAAATCTCCTATGTATAACATAAAAAACTATAATATTAACTGAATATAACAATGTTTTATGTATTAATAATGTACTATTATGTTTTGTGTTTTACGATTCGTATGTGATTTATTCACAAATATAAAATTATAGAAATTTGTATTCGTTGATATGTAAATATAGTATTAAGAAAACTAAATTTAATAAAAAATAAAAAAAATAAAATGAAAATTGCATTTGTGTTGCATTCTGCGTGGTTAGGTAATTGTAACGTATTTATTAATTGATCCACCAATCAGATTTTGCCGTCTGTCTCATCTAAAACTGTCAAGTAAAAATAATACGATTCATTACACATAACAAATAACTATGACACGAGAGTTGTATATCCTCCATGAAATAAAATTGTTTTCAGTATTTAAGTAATAAAGGTAGGGTAGAAATGGTAACATTTGATTTTTTTTTTTTATTAAACATTTTTGCAATCGCAAACATATTCATTGATAGTTTTGGATACTGTCGTTATGATAGCAGCGCCTCGTTGATCCTAGTTGGATCTACTACAGCTGTTGATACGTAAATTTTTGGTAGGATAAGTGTCAGTGAATATTTAATAAAAAGGAACAGCCTTTAGGCTGAAACAATAATCCACCAAAAGATGAGGGAGGCCGGAATAATGTTAATAAGTACAGCACTGACATGTGCTGTAATAGGCAACGCTTATTATCAAAGAAAACAGTTTTATCCAACAGTAGTTCACATAACCAAATCCAACCCTAGTATGACTGTAAGTTTTGATGTTTTCTTTCCTAAATTTTTATATTTAAATGTTATACTTGATCATTTCTAAACGTTCTAACGATTCTTATGTTTCTCTCCTTATATCAAATTTAGGTAATCTATACACAAGGTTTAATTCTAGTATTTATGATAAATGCTTTTCTTCGAAAGATATTTTTTGGTACTCTGCGTGCTGCTGAACTTGAGGTAAATATATGATGTGTTTTTGATTAATTAGAAGTATATTAGTAGTTTGTAAAGTATATGCAAGTATACATTGAGTGTTATTCATTTGCAGCACTTATTGGAAAAAGTATGGTATGCAGTGACTGAAACTTGTCTAGCATTTACAGTGTTTAGAGATGATTTTAGTCCAAAATTTATAGCACTATTTACACTTCTTTTATTTTTGAAATCATTTCATTGGCTAGCAGAAGATCGTGTTGATTATGTAAGTAATATGAATAAACTAATGAGATAATAATGATGACAAGAACATAATGATTTATTACATTCATTTTTAGATGGAAAGAAGCCCAGTAATAACCTGGTTGTTCCATCTTCGAGTTCGCACTCTATTGGCACTTTTATTTGTTACAAATTTAACTATGATTCATTATGCATATAATACAACAGCTACAAAAGGTCCTTCAGTGCAACTTGTATTTGGTTTTGAATATGCTATTCTTTTAACTGTTGTATTCAACATTACTGTAAAGTACATATTGCATATAATAGATCTGCAAAGTGAAAACCCTTGGGACAATAAGCCAGTATATTTATTATATACAGAATTAATAACTGGACTATTAAAGGTGAGTGAGATTAATAACATTTATTCCTCAAGAATTTATGAAATGATTGCATTCAATGTATTTTTTGTATTAGGTTATTTTGTATGTTGCTTTTGTCACACTGATGGTTAAATTATATACTTTACCTTTGTTTGCACTTCGTGCAATGTATTATACAATGAGAGATTTTAAAAAAGCTTTCCATGATATTGTAATGTCTCGCCGTGCTATTAGAAATATGAATACATTATATCCAGATGCAACACCAGAGGAACTAGCTGCTGCTGATAATGTGTGCATCATATGCAGGTATGTATAATAATATATTACTATTTTTAGAACATAAACATTCAGGCAACATTAAAAACATTTTCCACATTATTGTTATAGAGAGGAAATGGTAGCAGCAAGTAAAAAATTACCATGCAATCATATATTTCATACTGCCTGCCTTCGTTCTTGGTTTCAACGTCAACAAACCTGTCCCACTTGTCGCCTAAACATTTTAAGACCTGTTAACAATAATCAAGGAAATAGACAACAAAATCCACCACAGGCAGGACCACAAATACGTCCAGCTCGTTATGCATTAAAATATTTATATTTATATTAATATTTCGAAACATTAATGTTCATGTTTTTTAAAATAAAGTTCAAGTTCTACCAGCAGTTTGGGCCGGAATGCAAGCTCCGGGAGTTCCGCCACCATTACAACAACAACAGCAACAACAACAACCACAAGGTTCAGGTGCTGCGATGCCGCAACAGCAAGGACAAAATAGTGCTTCGAATACTGCATCAACATCATTTCAAAATTTGGCTGCCAGTGGTGTACCATTGTTTCCACCACCATTTCCTACAATGGTACCGTTACCTCCTATTCCCACACCGCCACCGAATCTTACAGAATTGAGCGAAGAAGAACTTAGGGCAATGGAGGGTAATTTGCGACAAGCCGTCGAAGCTAGAATACAAACATTACAAAGAGTTCAGCTTCTACTAGATGCTGCTAATGCTATGATGAACCAATATCAAACAGCAGCTTCTACTGCTAAGTGTGTAAAAAATTTCTGGATATATTAACAAAAACAAAAAAAAAGGAACTGAATGATTGTTATTATTTTATAACACTTTTACAGCATTCCCGTGCCAACTGCAACGAGTAGTACGAATGTTACAACGGACATTTCTTCAATGGCAAAGCAGGGAACGTCGAAAAGTGCAAATCCTGAAGTAGATAATGAACAAACGCAAGTTAAAACTGAGACGAATGTTCCTACTGCAAATTCTTCCAGTGATAATGTGAATACATTATCAGGCACAAATGGTAATGATGCAACTCCAGAATCATCAATTACAGAATCTTCAAGTGAACAAGAGATGCTACGAAGACGTAGGTTACAAAAATTTTCAGCTCAACTTACAGCAGAGTAAATGTTCTTAAAATTATCTGATAATTTGTGTAATATAATTTTACCTTGATTAATAACGAGCCTGGTTGCAGATACGATTGATGTTTGAAAAACAAAAATGTGTAACAATTGTGGTTAAGAGCTTGAAATTCAAAGTTGATATTACAATTTTAATAATCACAAATATATCAAATAATCATTTAAAGAAGATAATACAATGATTTTCTTTTTTGAATTGTTGTAAATTGTTTTAAAGCAATAGAAGAATATGCAAACTATAATTTCATTAACTAGTTCTTGCTCTTTAACTAGTTTGTGTGTGTATATATTCTTTATATGATGATACAGGTTTCTCCAAAATATTTCATACAATGAATTTTGTATCAATTAAATTGTTTCTGTACTTTCTATCTAAAAATTAGTTTATTATTTTTTATCCCATAACTTTTATATTATAAAATATAACAACACATCCTGTCAGTCTTGTTTATGCTTCATACAGGCTAATGTACAGATTTTACTATAATTATTACATGTTATTAGGAATGCTTGTGTCTGTACATGGGAGTGGTAATGTCAGTCACTATAACATGACTGTAAAATAATTGTTTTAGATAACTGTCACTGTATGTAATAAATTTATTTGTCTATTTAATAATGTTTTTGTTTTCACTATATAAATTTAAATACATTTATAAATACAATGGGTACAAAGTTATTTGTAATAATTTTGAACAATAAATATACATCAGGTGAGACTATAGAAGATAAGTACAAAATAAATTGTATTATTTATAAGAACAAAATAACACAAGTTCTAAAATAGGTACAAATGTAGTTATTTTAAACAAAGTACAAAGGCATAAGATGTTATAACAACAATGATTAATATAATTCTTATTTGTATAAAAGTAAAACTTTAAACAAAGTTTCACGCCATAAAAGAATATTAAACTCGTTAAAAAACCTATAATGTCAAATTTTTTATTTGAACACAATCGAATAAACGGTATTTTAATTGTTATAACATCGTCATGAATATCTTAAGATGTAAAAATGAGTAATCATTATCATTCGGTAAATTTTATCGATCAGGTGAAAGATAATTATAACCTCATTTTTCAATACTGAAAATGCGCAAGCTCGATATGACTATACATAAAGTAGAGACTAAATCGCACTTAGTAATTATTTTTTGTAATTTTAACTTTTTCGGAAAATAAAATTGTTACCAATTTTTTAATATGTAAATCTTGAATAATTTTATATTACATAAATTATACATAAGTTTCTACACTTACGTATTTTTTGCAAAATCATAAATATCACTTGTTAATATATCTAATTTTTGTGTAAAACATCACAGCATTTAATTTTGTTCTCATATTTCAATTTTTGGTCTGTTTACTCATTACTATTAAATTCATTTTATCGTTTTTGAATATGCATTAATTCTTGTGTAATTAATGTTTTCTGATTAATTAGACAATAGACGAACGACAGATTTAGTAATAATACAATTGTATATAACAACGCAATTTTCACGTATTTTTAATAATTTTAATACTACACATGTTTTTCTGCAAATACAATAGATCATTTATATTATTTAAAATAACTTTATAACATAAAATTTTATTTTTATATACATATACATTATATATTTGCACCTATAGATTTCTATTTCAATAATTGTTAAATATCATACAAAATTTGGAGTTAAACAATTGCATATAAAATTTCATATATATATAATATTGAAAAATAAATAACACTAAGGCATTATTTCACGTTAAAAAGGCAGTAATTAATTGTTTTAAATATAAGTTTGTTACTCTAGGTAATTTATATATTATATTAATTAACGAAATATTTGGTCAAATACGAGCTATCATATTACCCGCTAAAATCCTTGAGATACACGAGGCGAACCCCGTAGCGCGTTGTTGTGATCTAACATGGCGGAGTGTAGTGTTGTGGCTGCTCAGTGTCTATGTCAATTTTAGAGTGATTTTGCTTAATAAGAACGGAAGAATTGCAATGCTCGGCGATTGCAGTATCGCAAGAAATCGAGTAAAGTAGTCGTGTACTTATGAGTATTTGTATTGCAAGAGGATTGACTTTAATTTGAGTTTCGTTTGTCGCGGGAACCGTACACAGCGGTGAGAGAGCACGCAGAGTGCCGTCTTCCCAGCAACAAAATTTTCTCCTGACCTTCCACGACAACAAGCTGGCCTTTCGGAGTGATTCGGCATATAATTAAGATTTATTCACATCGTGTACTCACGACACGTGATAGCGAAAACGTGCACGACGTAAAGTTTTCCCGCGCGTCCTGAGAGGTTTTCTTGGCGCAAGAATCAGGCTTATGCAACGAAGAGCGCATAAACATCTATTACGGTAAACAATCTCATTCCGTCAATCGAACTAGAAGGCATGTGAACTACGTGACGGATCATCGTTGCTCGTATTTTATCTTAACAATTTTAGTGACAAAACTCAATATTGTGTAAGTTTATTAAAGGAGGTATTATACAGTTAGTGAAAAACTAAGAGGACACATAGGTTGGTGAAAAATCTGTAAGATTGTCAATAATTGTTATTAGAAATGAACAAAGATCCCTTATGGTGTATTTGTTAAGTAACAATTGATTTGTTTAAACAATTAGAAAGGAATAATCTTATGTACGAACCAGAACCTTAAAGGAACCATATATTTAAAGGTGTCTTTATCTTATACGGTTAATGTTGTAATAAAAAGCCTTAATGGGTTACAAGGGAGTAACTGACAGATCGATATATGCAGATTTTGGTGCATTTGTCGATAAATTAGAGAGTTGAGAAACATTTATAAGCATATTGAGAAAGCCAAAGAGTTGGTGAAAATAAAAGGGATGCGAGGTAGTTGGTGATACTATAAAACAGTGTGTATAAGTTAATTTTTACAACATGACGGATACACGCAGAAGAGTGAAGTTGTATGCACTCAATGTTGATAGACAGTGGGATGATCGTGGCACAGGTCATGTTTCTTCTTCGTATGTAGATAGACTGAAAGGAATTTCACTTTTGGTCAGAGCAGAGAGTGATGGTTCAGTTTTGTTGGAAAGTAGAATACAACCTGATACAGCATATCAGAAGCAGCAGGTAACAATTGTTATAAATTTTTAATGTAACATTAAGAAAGTAATTTAAAAAAAAAAATAAGATAATATATTTATACATTAACTTTTCTTTTCATATCCCATTTTTACATAGTTTTAATGGAAAATATGATAAAGAATATGTGGAGAATCAAATAAATTATGAATTATAAAAACTATAAATTGGTTGTTTTTTATTTCAGGATACATTAATAGTTTGGTCGGAAGGAGAAAATTTTGATTTAGCCTTAAGTTTTCAAGAAAAGGCTGGCTGTGATGAAATTTGGGAGAAGATATGTCAAGTACAAGGGAAAGATCCATCTGTTGAAATTACTCAAGATATTGTTGAAGAGTCAGAAGATGAACGGTTTGATGATATGTCAGATGCTGCACCTCCAATAGAATTGCCTCCATGTGAATTGAGTCGATTGGAAGATATTAATGAACTTATAGGAAATTGTTTATCTTCACAAATGAGGAAGGATAAATTAGCATTGGCTTTAGAATCAGAAGGTTATATCAAGAAACTATTAAATCTATTTCATACCTGTGAAGATTTAGAAAACATTGAAGGATTGCATCATCTTTATGACATATTTAAAAATATTTTCCTACTTAATAAGAACACATTATTTGAAGTTATGTTTAGCGAAGATACAATTTTTGATGTTGTTGGATGTTTGGAATACGAGCCAACATTACCTCAGCCAAAGAGGCATAGAGAATATCTTCGACAGTTAGCCAGATTTAAGCAAGCAATTCCTATTACAAATGCTGAGCTATTAGCTAAAATTCACCAAACGTATCGAGTTCAATACATTCAGGATGTAGTTTTACCAACTCCAAGCGTATTTGAAGATAATATGTTAAATACATTGAGTAGTTTTATATTTTTTAATAAGGTTGAAATAGTGACCTTGATACAGGACGACGAGAAATTCCTTACCGAATTATTCCGCCAATTAACTGATGAAGCAACATCAGATAGTAAGAGACGTGATCTAGTTCTTTTTTTAAAAGAATTTTGTAATTTTTCTCAGAATCTTCAACCACAAGGAAAGGAGGCCTTTTATAAAACCTTAACAGCACTTGGTATTTTACCTGCTTTAGAAATTACTTTGGCAATGAATGATGCCCAAACAAAAACAGCTAGTATAGATATATTGACTTACATAGTAGAATATTCTCCGAGTGTTGTACGTGATTATACATTGCAACAAATAAATAATACAGAACAGGACCAATTGTTAATAAATGTAATAGTTGCTCAACTCGTCGGCGATAGTGACCCAGAGTTGGGTGGAGCAGTTCAATTAGCTGGTGTATTACGCTTGCTCCTTGATCCAGAGAACATGTTGGCTTCCGTTAACAAATCAGAAAAGACTGATTTCTTAAATTATTTCTACAAGAATAGTATTGGAACATTGATAGCACCACTTTTAGCAAACACGATTGGAGAACGACCAGCAAGGGAAGATTACAGAACAGTACAGCTTTTAGGATTGATCTTAGAATTACTATCATTTTGTGTAGAGCATCATACATACCACATTAAGAATTGTATACTAAACAAAGATCTGCTCAAACGGATATTGGTTTTAATGAAATCAACACACACGTTTTTAGTACTGTGCGCTTTAAGGTTCATGAGAAAAATTGTAGCATTGAAAGATGAATTTTACAATAGATATATCACTAAAGGGAATTTGTTTGCACCTGTATTTGATGCATTTGTGAGAAACAATGGTAGATACAATTTGTTGGATTCAGCTATTCTTGAAATGTTTGAATTTATTAAACTGGTGAGCATATACATGTATACTGCACATTTTTTTTTTCAATTACGTAGCATACTTTTAATATGTTCCTTAACTTTATTTTAGGAGGATATTAAATCGTTATGTTCGCACGTTGTTGAAAATTTCTCAAAAGA